TATAGTGTGTGTGTGTGTGTGTCTATATATATATATATATATATACTATATTTAAATTTTATATGTATAAGAAATAAGCAACATACTCAGCAAAGTCGAAGTCCATATTCTTCATGTCTAGTACTGACGCAGTGGAGATATTCATTGAGAGTGGAGAAACTGAAGATCGTTGGTGAAGGGGTACATTGATATCGTCTTCGAAGCCTCTGTGAGAGAAAAAAGAGTTGATATGTGGCTATTAATAGTGCACGGTAGGTGTGTGGCTGTTAATAGAACACGGTAAGTAGGTGGCTATTAATAGAACACGGTAGGTATGTGGCTATAAATAGTTCACGGTAGGTCTGTGGCTATTAATAGAGGACATAGTAGGTACGAGGCTATAAATCATAGTAGGTGTGTGGCTAATAATACAAGCCATAGTAGGTATGTGGCTATTAATAGAAGACATAGTAGGTATGTGGCTAATGATAGAAGACATAGTAGGTAAACTGGCTATCAATTAAACCCAGATACCAGAGCGTGACTATAAATCATCAATGAACGTATTAATAGCAAACTCACATACGAAGACGATCTAATCACCACACACGAACAAAGACGATCTAATCACCAGAGATCACAGAATGACTATCTATCTACAATGAACGCATTAACAGCAAACACATATACACAGACGATCTAATCACCACACACATACAAAGACTATCTAATCATCAGATATAACAGACTGACTGACTATATATCTACAATGAACGCATTAGAAACAAACACACATACAAAGATAATCCAACCAGATATCACAGAACGACTATATATCTATAATAAACGCAATAACAGCAAACACACATACAAAGATAATCCAATCACCGCACACATACAAAGACGATCTAATCACCAGAGATAACAGACTGACTGACTATATATCTACAATGAACGCATGAACAGCTTAGATACATACAAAGATGATCTAATCGCCACACACATACAAAGACGAACGCCGTCGAGGTGGCAGCTTGTGGTCTCCTTTGCTCAAGTACTCGTCAAAGTCTGCGATCATCCCGTAGTCATCTGAGCGATGGAAAGGGCAGTGAAGGTGAGTGGATTTCATGAGCTGGAGTCAAGGATGGTGTTGACTATATTAGGATGAGATTTTAACTCACTTCGTATTTATATTGTCTCTGGTACCTCATAGTCATCTGAGCGATGGATAGAACAGCAAAGGAGGTGCATATCATGATCTGATGCGGAGGATGATTTTGACTATATTAGGATGAGATTGCAACTCTCTCTCTCACACAAACATAAACACCCACTCACTCACATTCCCTCTCACACTCATTTACACACTCACACACACACACACGCACACACATGGTTCTCCATATATGAAATTCAAACATGCAAGCCTTCGAGAACAGAATGAAGTATTTTAATATCAACACAGACCAGCTTGCACTTATACTCACATGTGTGGTAGTACAGGTGCTTACATGCACGTACACCCATATGTGTGGGAGTACTATAAAATACAAGTATACGTCAACAGAAACAATCCCATTCAGCACACACACACCCTTAGAAACAAACGCTTGTGAGCTGCTTCCGAGGGCACTCCGCCTGGGATGAGGACGTGCCAGTTTCCCAAGCGTGATGCTAGAGACACGACCAATTGCTGTAGACGTTAAAACAGTAAGATCAATTTAAAACATTAGTAAAAACAAAGCGCCAGGGGGCGAAAGGGAGGGGAGGGGGGGGGGGGGGGGGGTGCTATGCATAAAACAAGATATGTAATATTGATTTAAAGTAAAAGTGTAAATTTCTACATCACGATGTTTTGATACGTTTTTATATGGATAAGTGAAAAAAATTATAGCAAGATATCTATCTATATACGTTGATATCAGGACAAATGCAAATATCCGTAGAAGAATACGCTTTGATATCTACATACGTAGGGGTGTAAATAGCTATACATGTGGCGAAAATGGCACATACAAAGAACCTATTCCTTACATGTTATTGTTTTTATATATGTGTGAGTGGAATTTATAATTAACCATAGCACATTGGGCGTTGCACAGTATCAAGCAGCATATAGGCACACATACGTTCACATAAGTTTATCTACACTACACACACACAAACACAATATATATATATACATATATATATATATATATAT